ACTAGGATTGGTTTGCCATTGGCAGGCCATACGAAACTGTAACCCTGATCTATGCATCTCGTTCCTACAGAGAGCACAGCAGGGGTATGATCAAGCACATACGGATGCACGGGATCTGGCAATGCGGACAACTTGACATCAGCAACTTCGTTTGCCTCGGTCGAACCATTGGCTGTGACTAAGGAAATCGGATGCTCGGCTGCACGGCAGTTCTTGGCACTTACATCCCTCAGCATTCCTTTGGACACAAGATCGGATTCACTACCTGAGTCAACAAGCCAACTAACGCCGGCCTTTGGCGCAGCTGTGGCAATTGACGGGAAACGACCAATGTCTCTAAGGGCTTTGGGACCGCTGATGAACCTGCACTCTTTGCATGTGACGTCACGTGTGTCCTCATCCCAACAACAAAACCCACAACTTGGTGCAACATCTGAATCATGAAGTTTCACAGTTTCTTGAAGCTGTCTTGCACGAACTTGAGCTTCATGCTGTTCAACCTTTGATGAAACTGGAACATCTTCAGCTGTCTTATACACCTTAGTGAACTCTCTTGGACGGTGCTTGACTGGGACTTGACGACCAACTGCCTTCACCTCGATCACATGTGGGGCCTTTCGGAATCTAAGACGCTTCATGCTGACACTTGCCTCATCAGAGCACGAAGTTGCCTTCGGCTGTTTTCGGACGATGCATGCAAACTTCTGGATTAGACATGGAGCGGCTGTGGAATCCTTGCCCTTCTTCTTGGGAGCGGGTGAATTGGCCCTTTTGGTGTCTTTGGTGGCGGCAGCGGCTTTGTCATCATGTTTATAAAAACATTTGTCACCACGTCTGCACTTTCCCTGGGCATGATAGATGCATGGGGTTTTGGCCATTTCTTCTTTGGACATCTTCTTCCCCTTATCATCCTTATTGCCCCTTGATGGTGAACGTGTTCTGGTTCTTCTGGGTGATTGAGTTCGAGATTTATCATCTTTGACATGCTTGAATGGACACTTCTTCCCCTTATCACAGGTACCCTTTTGGAACTTATAGCAAATCTTGTCACCTTTGCCACCTCGTTCCTGCGATCTACCGCGACTTGGAGAGCCCTTTCGGCCGCCGCGACCATCGCCTTTGGCGGGTGCGGCCTTTGTGTCCTTAATCCCAGCCTTGTTCTTCTCCGCAATGCGGTTCCTGTTCTCCCTCAATCGTTCACGATCGATCAAGTTCTTCATGGATTGGTGAAGAAAACTGTAAGACTTTTCATGGGATTTCTCATGAGCACGGTCAAACACCTCGATGTCATATTTCAGCAACTGACTTGGTCGGATCTGCCTCAACAAGATGTCCCTTAACACAGCATCATCAGGGGTGACAGCCATGCCAGCTAGGGTAGCATCCCATTTGTTGATGAATCTTCGGAGATCCTGGACAGTATCGCCTACTTTGACAACACCCAAAAGATCTTCTACTCTGTAAAGGCTACCTGCTTCTTCTGATGTCTTGAAGTAGTCCTCAAACATAAGCAGAACATATCTTCCCCTGACCTGGATGCCTTTTCGGGATTGCTGCTCCTTGAAATTCAAGATCCTTGTTGCGAGGTCCCCTCCGGCTGAGCGCGTGAGCGCTGCTGATAACTTTGTATCCAGCGTGAGGAACTTTCCGGGATCTTGGAGTTTCTTCTCCAACTGCTCTCTGGTGCACTCTTGATCGTACACCTCGTTGAGCCAGAGCCACGCCTCATCCGGGCGATCTGAACAGCTTTTCACTTCATCCCTGACATGATTCTTCCAAGTTCTATATGACTCCGGAGCGGGCATGTTGTTCAGCTTGATGAGTTCAGCCTCCTTAGTTTTTGGCTTATCCTTTTCTTCCCTTTGGGTTAAGGCTTTCACCAATTCAATAAGATCTGAGGGACCCATAACTTGCTGTTGCTTGGTTGCGCTCTTAGGAGATTCATTTGGGGGAGTTTTGATAGCTTCAGTGGGAGTGAAAAACCCTGACTGCGTTGGCAATTGGGGCTGGTCGTTGCCGACAGCCGGCTTTTGCTTGGGACTGCCACCTTTGAGCAGCTCATCCAACTTGGCCTTTGCTTCCTGCGCCAACACTGCAGGCGTCTTCAACTCAAGAATCGGCTCCTCACTGCCTCTGGCAGCCTGTGCATCGGATGCTTTGGGAGTGGCAATATTGAAGTGGGGCACGCTAGTGGTAGCGGCCGGCTCGGCGTTCTGGACGGATGCTTTCGGAACGGAGGCATGCTGCGCTTTGGCAACATGCTTTAACTGCTCCTGAAGATCATCGATTTGGTCCTGAAGGCTAAGGTTCTGAGCCGCTGCCTCGTTGATCTTGTCGGCCATCTCCTTCTTGTAGTTCTCAAACTCAGTCCTCAAACTGATGAACCTGGCCTGATCAATTGCAGCCTGATCTTCATATTGCTTCTTTGTGGCAGCTATGGCATTCTTTGCATGTTCAACTGTCTGTGCATAGGAAGCTTCGAATTCACTAGTGATACGTTTCCTTTCCTCTGCAATTTTCTGATCATGCTTTGTGTTTGCCTCTGCCTTTACATCCTCTATTCTTTTATCATGCGATGCCTGAGCCTGATTCAACCTGACCTCCATCTCGTCGCCTCGTTTCCTCTCCTCGTTGAGGGCACTAATGGCATTACCTTCAACCTCCTGCAGCCTTTGCTCATACTCCTGCTCCTGCATTACGAGTCTACTTGACCATTCGTTTCGAATTGAGTCAACTACTCCATGCATTATCTGAAGGTGCCTCTGTTCAGCTTCCCTCATGACTTGCAGGGTATTCCCACTAGTAATCTGGGACAGGTTGTTTTGTATGAAGGTAAAGTACGCAACAACGGGTTGGAACATTGTTTCGTCATCCATCGGCTCGGGGTTGCCCCCGGCCATATTAGGCACAGCGACAGCCGATGGACCTGACCCTGGAACGGCGAGAGGATGGTCAATTGGGGTCCCCATAGCAAAGTAGTGAGACTACGGCTGATAACCTGTATTTTACAAGGTCAGCCACCAATATGTTACAATAACAATGGGGGCAAGTAACCGCTAAGCTGCTGGCACTGTTTTGAACCAACGCTATCGGGCAGATCGATGATATCTACAATACATGGTTTTACTGCAGGAGTTTTTACAATATCTACCACAAAGCCTAGTTATTGGAGATATACATCCACTTGACTGTATAACTATCTGGCAACATGTTGTAAATAGTGGGGGTTCCGAGGAACTTTTCCCAATATGTCCCAATCAAGTCTGAGACTCGAGGGGTTACCAATCATTATGCGTACTCTGATTCTATTACGCCCGCACTATTCATTACCATACTGAGTATTGATATGATTACAACCCCTTTGATCATCAGTATTTCCACACTAGTGGCCATCTAATCCGACCCAGGGCTCCATGAGTCATTCAAGGTGATGCAAATGACTCCAAGAACTGTTGGGTTTATGGTAGATCTTAAGATATTATATCTGGCTGGTGGTTTCAAACCCTCTGAAACATATTAGTCAGTTGGGATTATTGTTCCCAACATATAGAAAAATAAAAAATGTTCCAAACCACCAACCAGATATCTTTATATAGGTAATGGGAGTTATGAACCAACAAACATAACTGTGGGGGGCACCACCTTGTCGCCTATTGATTGGGGATGGCCCCAAATCATGTGAAATTTGCACACGTCACCTCAGTAACCGTTCGGTCTTTATGGCTGTTTGATACCTTTTGACCCATGCCATTAATGATTAATGTGTGCACGCACACACACACACATACACACGCATATTTTATCTATCTATCTATCTATCTATCTCTATCTATCTATCTATCTATCTATCTATCTTCCTGTTCTGTTCTGTTCTGCTCTGCTCCGTTCTATGCTAATCTATCTAATCTATCTAATCTATCTAATCTATCTATTCTATCTAATCTATCTAATCTATCTAATCTATCTAATCTATCTAATCTATCTAATCTATCTAATCTATCTATCTATCTCTCTCTCTCTCTCTCTGTCTGTCTGTCTGTCTGCCTGTCTGTCTCTGTCTGTCTCTGTCTGTCTGTGTCTGTCTGTGTCTGTCTGTGTCTGTCTGTGTCTGTCCGTCTCTGTCTGTCTCTGTCTGTCTCTGTCTGTCTCTGTCTGTCTCTGTCTGTCTCTGTCTGTCTCTGTCTGTCTCTGTCTGTCTCTGTCTGTCTCTATCTGTCTCTATCTGTCTCTGTCTGTCTCTGTCTGTCTGTGTCTGTCTCTGTCTGTCTCTGTCTGTCTGTCTGTGTACGTATTTAAGCAGCTATATTTAAGAGATACTACTGTCTGATAAAGCTGATCCAACTGATATGCCCATTTGAAACTAACAGAATGCAAGATATCGCAAGTGAGGCAAAAGATAATATTTCACACTAACCTGAAATAAGGCATGTGGGGATGATTCCTTATATAAACCCTGATTTTGGTGAGGTCACAGTGAGGTCACAACTTTCTATCCCCAAACGGTATGAAGATCAGTTGAGTTTGGAGCTGCAGGTGGTTCCTTGAAAGCTAGGGGGTCTTTCATTTAGTACTTGCAGGCTAGCATGAAAAAAGGAAGGGACCAGCAATTGAAGCAACCAAAATTCGGCTTCTTGAAATGGAGAATCCCCAAAACCATTAGTTTCAACACTAAAATGGTATATATATAATTTTGGATGATTTGCTACAGCAACCATACAGACTGCCCTGAGAGCAAATATGGTGGATAGAAAACAGCTACTTATCCTATCTGCCCCATGGTATTCCCAACACATTCTCCCAAGGTTTTTCTCAATGTCTGGTTGATTTAAAAGGAATTCCCAACATGGAGTGTGATATTCCCCAATAATCCCATAAATTAATATAAATGGTTGAATCATTGGTGAGTATAATATAGTATAATCCCCAAACTAATCATCAACCAACCGGGGTTTTCCATGGTTTCCCCCCATGTCTTACCGGATTCTTCCCGCGGACAGCACCTGCGAAGGAGCTTCTTCTTCGCATGCTGCAGCCGCAAGAGCCGGATCTCTTCGAGACGATCGATCTGCCTGGGATCCCAACTCCGGAGGGGCCCATGGCAGGGTTTTCCACAGTTACCCCCATCAGTCTAGAAGCACATGCAGAAAGAATACGAACATAATGAGAAAAAGATAGACATAGAGAGAGAGAGAGAGCAAGAGAAGAGAGAGAGAGAGAGATCCAACATGGATCCGTGTAGATATGTGTAGATAATTACATATAATTATATACATAATATGATATAGACAGTTCACCGTTTGCAGGTTGTGGGAAGAACAAATGGATCTTGTTCGCAGGAGATATCCTCCACAATCCCCAGTCCGCCTGTTGTAGGTCTCCAACTCACTGATCCGCGTGAGCAAGGACTGCTCAGGGGCAGAGGTAGCGAGCCACCTCGGAAAGGAGTTGCCTGGAAATCTTGCAGAAAGTTTATAGCAATCCCCCATCCCCCCAAAAAAAAAACTGCCAAAATAAGCGCAAACGACGATGATATTTCTTGGTGGTCTCTGCTCAGCACTTGTGCAAACCAAGCGGCATTTTCTTTGACTGGCCATCATATGGCATAATTCACATGGCATAACCCTCAAGCACGACGAGTACGACTTTATCTGAGGAAACGCAATCTGATTCAACGAGCAAAGCCTGAGTTTGTTTCAGCTCGTTTTGGTTGATCCTGAGATGGGCGCTTTAGCACTCTCTCTCTCTGTTTCTGTTTCTGAGACTGGCTCTGATGGGTTCATTAGAGCTATTAGATGTACATCGAAATACATCGAATATGATCCGATGGCTATCTTCAGGCACAAGCTTGGATCGCTGAAGCTTTCACTTAGACGACGAGGTTGCCGGCCATGTGCTGATGCTGAAGCATAGTAGAGCCAATGATAGCAAGCTGCAGCTGCAGAATTTCTACATGTTCAAAAGACTCCTGCTGCAGCAGGGTATTTTTCCCACGACCCTCAAGTTCTGAGCTCGGCATTTTCGACAGGAAAGCTAGCATACATCTCACAGCACCAAATGAGCGAATCGGGATGATTCCACTGGAGAATTCTCGAACGACGGCTGTGACAGTCATGCCATTGCCAGTGCCTCATCAAATCCGATATATCCGATGTTCTTCTTCTGTACACCATGCACCCAGGCAGGTTTCACCGCCACATCAATCTGCTTCGGGTGCATTCCGGTGCATGTTTAAACTGAGGACCTGGCCACCCAGGCCGCCCAGGCTTCAGAATCTTGGAAGGAAGTCAGGTCATTGTAGACCTCTATGCAGATATACCAGGTACCGAGGATGCGAGACAAAAAAATGGAATTTCGGAATGTCCCATAATTCAGTACCCCTCACTGATTCCAAAATTTCAAACACCTCAAAAATGGTGCATGGCTTGCAGCAAACTAGAAAGAACCGAAGGATACCAATCAGTGCGGCGCGGCTCTGTTTCTTACCAATGCCCAGATTGTGCAGGTTGCCCGGCCAAGATGGTGCAGGCTGCACGGCAGCCTGCTACTACACGGCCCAAAACTAAACGAAAAACGGCCGGCAGAGTCCTTTCTGTTGAAGACTCTGCATCACCAGATCCCAGGGAAAATGTAGTATGGCACCGCCTGCCTTGGAATATACAATATGAGGCCTTACATGGATGCAATTGACATATTCTGAAACCACTGTCCTGTCACCCCGGTGTCATCAAACTTTCAGAAAGATTCAGTGAGTTCCAAATGGTCCAAGATTTTCCAAGCCACTTGTAGCGATCCCAGTCAGGCCCGTACTTCTTGGAGCACCTGACTTCATCACGCCAGCAACGATGGCAGTCCATGAGCCAAAAGTAGATGCCTCAAGCTGCAAGGTGCTATGGTGTCCAGAAATGGCAGATGAACCCTTGAATTCATGGCAATTCTACTAGGTTACTAGGGAAGTCTTGAAGTTGATGATCAACCTATGGATTCTGCCGGAGGTCCTATGTTTTCTCCTAAATGTTCAATTAAACCATGTCTTGCCATGTTTTCCCATGATAAACCCATATCATATCATATCATCTATATACATCCTATGCGACACACCCAGCTCGCCACCAAGCAGCAGTAGGAAATGGGCAGCCAAGGGAATGGGGAGGCTGGATTATAGCATGCCACTGCCCACCTCAGTAGGAGCCAGTTTACCCAGCGCGGTTCTGGCTGGGAAGTTTAGCACCCCATGGAGGGACTGAATGGTACTGAATCATCGCATTCTGCCAGCTGGTTGATATATTTTCTGGTGATTTTCAGGTTCCCTGAAAATACGCCTTTGATCTGGTAGTTACATGTAGTTACCTCCAATTTAGGTACCTGGAATGGCCCAATGGCCATTGAATGTGTAGCCACCACCCCGGTGAATCTGACTGGTAGACATAGCCCAGCCACCCAATGCACATGGTCAGATCGCCGATGTAGTTGAAGTGCCGGGCCAAGCCCCAATAGCCGGAGGTGAGAAGAATGGATCCCTCCTGACGAAACGTATGACTTGATATCATCCATGAAACCACGAACCAAATCAAATTTGCTCACCATGTACATCTCCATTTCAGGTTACTGAAATCCTCGGTTTTGGCATCTAACAACTGGCTTTGTCCGAAAATTTCAGTGGAAAAAAACGCCAATGTCATCGTGTTATCATCATTTTCCACACTCAAATGGTAAGTCCTCGATTGCTGGACAACCCCCCAAATCATAGTTGCGTTTGTATATATCTGGGCAAATTATAACAATTCACAAACCTGAAACAAGGCTGTTCCTTGGGATAATTCCCCGAATCCTAGCCTAACCATCATTCCAGGCTTCAGGAGAACAGTGAGGTCGTGATCAAATTTACCCGGATAATACATATATATATATATATGTGTGTGTGTGTGATATATATATATATATATATTATATATATATAAACCATTCCTATTTTATTAACGGCTGGCGACGATTTTGTTTGGCTCCTTGGTTCGGATGAACTCCACCTTTTTGTCCCCGAAGATGATGCGAGTGCTCCAGGGTGACCTAGTGGCGGTCATGTAGGACCCCTGGGGTGCTCCAAAAAAATGGTGATGATATTTGTGATAAGTACACTAATGATGGTGATATATGATATATACATATATAAGTACACTAATGACGGTGATACATGAGATATATGGTGATATGAGCGATATTAATGCTGATGAAATCTGATATCTGTGATCATTACATCCAAAATCATCCAGATCAATGGATTCAAATTGGGGGATTGTTTTTGCCAAAACGAAAAGGGCGACAAAATAACCACCGCAACATGGCACAAAAAAGTGCAGTTAAATTATGGGAATATTATGGAATTATGGCTAAGCTGTAGACAATCAACATCAATCAACTGTCAAATGGAAGATCATGGAATGGGGCAAGCGTTGGCGCTGGGAGTTCGACAGAGCTCCCATGACTGCCACGACTTGACGGCCGTGTCCCGTGTTTGCGCCTGTATTTGTCCACAGAGCCTCCATTGTTTAGGTGGTCCCGGAAGAGATGCTTCTCAATGTTGGTGATGCGGAACATGATCATTCCAAAGATGTACATGGCAATCCCAATGCCTTGCACCAGAATGCACAAAGGGATGCACAAAGGGATGATGCGATTTAAGAGTGGTTGCATTGACATTCGAAAACTGGAAAATGGTGGTGTTAAGAATGGGATGTGAAGCAAAGATGTCCTTTTCCTATTAGCTGATTGATAGAGAGGCTTGCGGCCCTTCATAGCCAGTAGACAATTGATGATAAATGGCAAATGGTGAAAATACCTCCAGGATTGCGCCTATACCCACCATAGGTCTTAGAGGGTCTTAGTCACGTATAAACAAACTTACCTATCGCTTGAGGGCCCCTCCCTGTGGGTTGGAACCTGTCATCATCCCGCCTGCAAAGATGTAGTTCTGAGTGATGTAGCCCTTGGCACCACCCTGTACGGCAAGGAAGCCCATGAAGGAAATGGGATAGAAGCGGCTGAGGAAGCCCCAGTCCCCATAGGTCAGCATGAATCCAAAGAGATCGTGACGGATGTCAGTGGTGGTCAAATATGCGGGCTCAACCAAGTTGTAGTCAAAAATGTAGTACCTGAAGGTCAGCAGCAATGTCAAACTAAAAAAAGCACGGAGAGATTCCATCACCCTCTGGTAATCTGTTCACATGGCTGGCACCTCTCTCACAGTTCCACCGAAATTTAAAACAGCTGAGACTCCAATGCGCCAGTGTGATGAACACAGCGGCCGGTCCAATGTTTGCAAGAGAGCCTGGTGTCAACAGAGCCGGATACAGGAGTTGGTCATAGATCTCCAGGTATGATCCCACTCAGCAAATGGTTAGTCAAGGGAGAAATATGCCTATATAATATATAATAAGCAATATCTAATTTTAACAGCCAGCCTTGTGGTTTCTCAATCTTTTGATGGTGAACTCACCATCAAAGTGTCCGGACATTGTCAAACATTGTCAAACTACGTCTGTGGGACGCGATCCACGTCCAAGTGGGACAACTGCACCTTCATCATTGCAGAAGCCCTCCTTCCCTGCGAACATCTCTTGAATCTTCTGCGACTTGCCCTGCAGTAGCGGGGGGGAGGGGGGCAAAGTCGATAAATCGGTGCCGGGTTGCCCATCATCTCAAATTGAGGATGGGGTCGCAAAATATCGTTCTTGATATCTGATATGTATCCATGCATCAAGAAAATTCAAGAAATACATCATCTATGTATGTGTCTGCCTGTATGTACATAGTTAATTAATTATATCATATTATCTATGCACATACTAAGGGGTATCAATCAGGAGTATGGGCCATGTATCATATATGGATCGAGGTATGGAGCCGGCCTCGTGATCACCGAAGAACACCGAATCCTTCGCACCATAGGCCGAGGGTAGGCTGCAGCCGTAGTACATGCTTGTCTCGGCCAGGGTGCTGCGGAATGCAAGAGGCAGAGCACTGATGATTACAGCAGATAGAACACCAAGAACTATACGCATTCGTGGAAGCTATATGATAGGTTTTATCACTAGAGCAATTAGAGTCACTAGAGCAATTAGAGCAACCGTAATAGCGGTCGAGTAGGCGTTGGGATTTTCGGGGCACCAGTTGACAGTAGCCAGGCCCATCATCGGATGTCAAGCGGCCAAGTACGAAATGTTCAAGATCACCCAGCCAGTCAATCCCGGGCGTGCGTTCCAGAATCGCTTCAAGTCAAATGGCGTCTTCAAAATGCCATGAAACAAACGAGGATTGCGGACCACACCCATGAAGAAATCATTGAAGAAATCCTTGTAGTCGAACACACCATGATCCTCTTCAAACTCCTTAGCTGCCGGGATCTGCCGGGGGTCCTGCTGTGTTTGGTCATGCTGCAGGCACACTATCACCTAATGAATCCGAGTTTCAGGATCATCCACGTGGCGTTTCCAGAAAATGCCAAAGCCCACGTACAACCACAGTGCCATGACATAGCTAGTGATCACCGCCTCTGTCAAGAGAGCTCCCATGTTCTCAAAGACATAGTAAGGCTTCAGGATCCCATAGTAGCAACAGAGGAACAGCCCAATGTGGCTCAAGAAGAAGCACAGCAAGCCGTTCATGGGGTAGATCAACTTGCGGCCGCTCTTCAGCATCACCCCCTCCTTCAAGTTGCCAGGCAACACGATCTCTCCTAACGCCTGGCAGCAGACCCAGGTCAGAGACACAATGGTCGGACCCCAGCATGGACGGATTGAAATCCCATCCGGCAAGTTCCAAAGGTCTTTCCAAAAGCTGGGCCCTGGAATCACCAGTCGTCCCTGATGCATGACCATGATGCCATAGAAGTAGTAGATGGCCGCTGGAATGAAAAATGTCCAAAAGCCGGTGCCAATGTTCCCGTAGAATTCACCGATCGGCCGGGTCTGCTTGCGCACTCCTTTGGAGCTTGGAGTTTCAACTTGCCTGCTTGAGGCTTTGGGCGCCGGACTGTCGGTGCGTTTGGAGGACGGCATGGCCGGCTCTTTCTCCCAAAATGGCCGATGTTTTGTCACCACTGTGAGGCCAATGCCGGGATGTTTGAGTCGAAAATTGCTGAAGAATCAAAGCACGTGAGGTCCACAATGGGGATCCTAAAAATGAACTTTTCATGGTCTCAATTGAAGGTGGGGGATATTGGAAAATAGAATATGGATGGGTTCTTCCCATTTTGGACACCGCTTGCAAGAATCGAGAAACTAACGACTGGTGGCCCAACGATTTTTCGGCAGGGGCCTTGAGCTACTTGTAGAATCTGGATCTTGTGGTCCTTGTATGATTTGTGTGTTCTTGTGCCTTCCAAAGTTGCTGGGTTCCCCAAATCAACTGACCTTGGGATGTTCTGTACACATCTGTACACAATGGATGAATGCTGCCACTATTGCAAAACCCATTGAATTCAATGTCCCTGGTGTTCCTCGCAAGCATGCTGTTGAACAGTTGCTGGCACCAGCAGCTCCAATTCGGCTTCCATGAATCAGTCATGATCAGTCCGTCTCGCAGCAGCGGAGTCCTCGCTGCCGCTTCTTCCATCAAGACGTTGCCTTCATGTTCCACTTCATCTCCTAGGTTGCAGCTGCTTGGCTGATCGGTTGGTTGGGATTCATGGGGGCTTGAGAAATCAGCCCGCAAACGGAGGCCTCAACTCATTGTTTTTGATGATTCTCCCTCTTTTCAGGATGGGGAGCACCTTGAGTCGTCAAAATGGGCATAAGGACCACCTCAAAGGTTAGAACTGGAGCCCAAAGTCATCCAACCTCCTCCAAAAAAAAAGTGGCTCCCCCCAAACTCCTCGATTTTTTTGGGTCCAACCCCCTGACCCTCGCAACCGTGGAGGGTTCCATTGCAGCCAAGACACCTGCTGTGCATGTCCAGGAGCTGCCCCACCAAGTGATGGAACATGTCATCGACGCCTTGACCCGTCCTGGTCAGGCTGTGCACCACCTATGGGATGAGATGGTTCATGGTGTGGTAAACACAACCCCCCCAAAAAAAACGCACCCCCCAATGCAATCCCACTGTTCTATATATATATATATGTGTGTGTGTGGGTGTTTCAGGGGTAACTCTATGGTATAAGTATATAATATATATATATATATAATGTTATGTTGTGTTACTACACATGAAAAACAATGTAAAAAAAAACAACGACCACCAGTTGACGACAAAGAAAACATGGCCGCTGCAAAAGAAACTGCAGAAAAATTGGCATGATGCATGTCCTTGCAGACACTTCCTTGGCTTAACGTCTGACACTGCTCAGCACTGATGCAGATGTGAGACTGAAGTTTCAAGGAAAACCCTGAGGTTCCCAGAACTGGTTTAATAACTCAGTGAATCCTATAACTGGTTTTACTTAGGCATGAATTTCCAGCAAATGTTCAGCCAGCTTTTTCGGATTGTAAATGTCATCGCTGCCAGTGCCAAGAGTCGAAGTAAAAGCAAGACTGGTCTCTTGCAAAACTTCGCACGGTGTCCACCAGCTGGTCATTGTGCTTCAGATCTGCCTTAGCTCTAGCAAAGCTCCTGCAGGATCATCAGCAGACTTTCACCAAAATCTCAAGGGGACACCAAATCCCTCCACCAAATCACAAGAAATCCTCGGGAAGAAAAAAGGGCGTGGCAGGTCTGGGCTTGGAGGCTTGGATCTCTTCATTTTGTGTCCCATCTTTTGGGGCGGTAGATTCTCGTGGAGCATTTGTGTTGCCGCCCGAGTAGCTTTGTTGACCACCTGGGCAACGGGGAAGAATTGACATCGCCAGGACGGCCACTGGTCACCGAAAAATGGTGAATTTACCCAGCAAATTGCGGAAAAGTGCTTCCTGTAGCAGTTGGTCCAAAAGTTGTAGAAAATCCTGGGGAAAACAATGCCATGTTTACCACCCATGACTGGGACTGGCATCCCATACCATCCATACCTATAAAAATAGTGATGACTGGGGGATGGTGCAAATGGCATTTGTTTTGCCAACATTAGATGTTATTAGTGAAATATCAGGGGAATAACATAGACCCGGGCAAGCCGGCGGCGGAAGTTTCCCAAACATAAATGACCTATAGTTCGAAGAAAAACCTGTCCCGACCGTGTCCTTCCCTCGACACTCCACACCTCACACTGCACACTGCACTCTTCGCACTCCAAACTTCAAACTTCACACTCCACACTTCACACTCCACACTTCTCACTTCTCACTGCTTCCTTCACACTCCAAACCTCACACTTCACACTTCACACTTCACACTGCGCACTTCACACTTCACAGTCCAC